AGGTCGGCCGAGCTCCGCAAGTACCAATACTACGTTTCACCGGATTGGTCTGGCGGCGTCTACGGTTCTCCTGGTATGGCGGGCTCACGTCCAGGTGCCCTGATTGCCGGTTGCTGGGCCAGTTTGATGAAAGTCGGTGAGGCTGGTTACGTCGACGCTTGTGTCAAGATCGTCGGTACGGCCAAGAAGATCGTGGAGAAGATCCGCGAGACCCCGGCGCTGGACAACGAGCTCGAGATCCTCGGCAAGCCCCTCGTGTCCGTCGTCGCCTTCACCGCTAAGAACCTCAACGTTTACGATATTGCTGACGGCATGTCCGAGAAGGGGTGGCACCTGAACGCCCTGCAAAACCCTCCTGCTATCCATGTCGCTGTTACCTTGCCCATCACCAAGGTTTACGAGAAGCTTCTTACTGATCTGGAGGCCGTCGTGGAGGCCGAGAAGGAGAAGGAGAGAGTGCGCGCGGTTGAGGGCAAGGGTGTAAAGGGTAAGGCGGTCGGCGACTCGGCGGCTCTCTACGGAGTTGCTGGATCTCTGCCCAACAAGAGTGTGGTTGTTGACTTGGCCAATGGCTTTTTGGATTTGTTGTACAAAGCATAAGGGAATGGGACTGGTGTAAGTGCATTAGATGGCGAGCATTGATATCGGTCAGGAGTTAAAACTCCAGTGACATAATTGGGTAACAAATCTTTTATCAGCATCATACCAGCTTCACCGATGTTGCACTATTATTTTGCACTTTTGATCTGAAGGAAGCTCATCGATGAGGAGGAAATGGCTCACGTGGCCGCTTAAACTTGACTTGTTGCTTGGACAGCATTGGACATCCCCACCGGTTCGAGCCACGGGACCGGAGGCGATCACCTAGTCCCGGTTCCTCGACATCAACCAGTCGGGATGCCAAGAGGGCAGCTGGCATGTCTCATAAGGGCCGCTCCGATGGCGCTTCCGACAGCAACGGCGAGTGCCACGGTCCCAACAAACCTTGAAGCGAGATCGGGCCCGGGACAGGGGAGAGCCACGCGGAACAGGCGAACCATCTTTTCGGTGGGCGCCTTACCGGCACACCCGGAAAGGTGACGGGCCAATGACTGCCGGGATCCTGCATGATATCATCTTTGTGCCTCTTACGATCCCATGCAGCACGCCCACCACCATCGAAGCTGAAGTAGTGCTCCAAACTGCATCTCAACTCAGGGCTTGCTGTCTTATCGGACGCTGCGGTGGCACCTCGCCAACTTCAAAGGAACATGAGAGATGAGATGCGCTGACCTGACTACCGGCCCACATTGCCGGCCAGCAAACATGCATGTCTCCTGACTTTTTTTGTTGTCCGACGCAGCTGGATATTCCAGGACTGAAGCGGCAGACTGGGCGCACCGTTCGAGCAGCTCGAAACAGGAGTGAGGAGATGGGCAAAGTTAGTTCGTCTCAACAGAGGCCACCCACCTTCCCTCCCTTTCTGGCCTCAAAATCGGGAGAACGCTCCATCGCGTTCTCGGGAGAAGCCTCCTCCCGAGAAACCCGGCTTGCGGGGGGGAACGCATACCAAGCCATTCTTCAATCCCATCGCTCTGGGCGGCACCGTCGAATTGGCTGACGGCCCCGCGTACGTCCTCAAAAAGTGTAATTTTGCTGCCCAATCAGACAAGGATCGGCTGAGTTGGAGAGCGAGAGAGGGACGACCAGCCGGTCCCACGACAATGTCGAAGAAGTGAAGAAAATAAGGCAACTCCTGTGTGGCGTTCTACGCCCGGCTACTTTGTGCGAGCCGACGAAGAAACACCAACACAGCCTGCTTTCCTGCATGGCCATGGCTGAGGTATCTGTGAGGGGTCGAACACCACATTTGCTAACGTTTTCTTGAAAATGCAGTTTTCCGCAACGGCAATTTGCAACCCATGCCTTGTGTGTCCCTCCCTCACCCCCCGGCCGCTGTGATCGTCTCCCCTCATTAATACATATACACATATCGTGTACGCCTCTTATCAAGCCCACCTGACGCGAGGGGTGGCGGTGGTGGGTGGTGTTTAGATGTCATGGCCTAATTGGGGACAGCCGTATTCGGTGTTGCATTCTTGACCGAGAGAGGCATGGGTCTATAACTACACCCAACGTTTATCTCGTTTCCGGGTTTCCCTCCCTCCGTCTTTTGTTTGTCTGCTTGTCGCAAATTGTGCTTTTTCTTGTTGGTGCCTTAGAAAAACTGCCGCAGCCGCTTTTCTGCTGCCCTCTGTCGTCTCAACAATCCAATCATTGTTTCATGCCCGTTTGTCTCGCACAATGATCTAAGTACATCCGGGAGTTCGCATCAAGTCTGCATACGACGTATCAACTAGAGGCAAGTCATGACCAACAACGCGCCAGCAGGGGAGGCGGTCCGGCCGAGACTGGACACCAACACCAACTGGGCCCTGCCGCGGGACCAGCACCCCGACGACCCGGAGTCCGAGGAGCTCTCGCCGCTGTCTCCTGGACGAGAGCCGGCAGAGTACACTTGGGGAGAACAAAAGGAGGGCCATGGACCCGGCGAGGGGGACGCTCGTCCGGCAGCAGCCATCAACATCAACATACCGTCTCCTCTCATGTCAAGGACACGTGAGAGTATGGGCAGCATGTCGTCCGATATGATGGAGGAGTTGAGAAAGATTATCAAGGAAGAGGGTGAGTCTATCTTGTCGTCGAGTGCCATTTTAGTCTTGCTAATAGGCGGTATAGTTCAAGCAGCCCAGGTGGTTCATCTCAAGAACAGCGAGACTGGAACCCCTATCGATGCATTCCAGTTCCCACCCATATCCAACCAGAACTCCGTCTTCACACCGGCGTACCCCAGCCCGCCCCCATCAGTGGTCGACACGATCAATTCCAAAATCTCGTCTCCAAGAGAGCGAAGCCCGGAAGTCACCGGCGCGAAGGTGAACCCGGCTCCTCATCTCGCACCTCCCCCGGCCTACGTGCCGCCGTCGGTGTCTGAGGCCGAGGCCACACCGCCCATCAGTCCTCAGCAGAGGGCTGTTCGCTTCAGAAACCGTGGGCCACCGGTGATTCACTGCCAAACTCGCATCGAGCCGGAGGCTGTGTCTCCGACTGCCCCTATTCCGGGTCGGGTTGAGTTGAGTAGTGTCGACAAGGCTTGGGGTGTCTTGTTTGATCTGGAGGGTTATGGTACTCAGCGGCTGAACTCTGTGCTCAGGGGTTTGGCGAACTACATGGTACTGTTAAAAGGTTCTCATAGTCGAAATTGGTAGCCACTAACAACCTTCAGATTGCGGAGTTCAGCCCTTCCGAGACTCTCGTCGTTACCCCTGAGAAGATGCTGTGCTTGTACACAAAGTACAAAATAGAACCCGAGAGATTCCAATACGAAGGTAAGAACCTCTTCAACAAGACCATCACCTCTCTAATACGTCGCAGACATCTTCCGCTCCCGCTCAAAAGATGCCCTCGAGAGAATCGAATACCTCTACCAAGACTTGGACTGCCAATATCACCTCGTCCAAAGCACAGCAAATCCTAAATCCAAGCCTAACGTACCTGCCCTTACACCCATCGGCTTCGCAAAGTGGATGGTCAGCAACATTCTAGCCTATCCCGACCCCGAAGCTCGCCGCCTCCACACCATCATGTCCTCCCTCCCCATCAACGCAGACGGACCCCTGGTAGACGGCAAAGCAGAGAGGCTTCCGAAGCAATTATCCAGACACCTCTTCCCCGAGCATCACGACAAAAAGACCCGCTCGATCCTCGATGAGGCCATGCTGGACTGCCTGGAAGACGCCGCGCCCCCTCTCCCGTCCATCCCCCGCTCGAGGCCGAGCCCCTCCGACAACAGGCCCGCAGAGGCAAACATCCACTCCCGGCGCTCGTTCGACGACAGAAAACGTCCCAACCTGATGGCACAGCAGCGCTCGAGGACGTACGACAGGGGCACGAACCCCCAGCCCGCACGGCTCCCCCGGGCCAACTCGGACGCGGGCGCCTCCGTGCCCAGACACCGCGACCTATCCCCGCCGCCGATGGGACGACACTCTGGTAGCAGCTCCTCGCAGCGCCGTCGCAGCCCGCCGCCCGTCAACCGGTACAGCGCATCGCTCCCCGCGATCTCACAGGTGCCGTCGTCGTCGTCCTCGCACTTTTCCTCCTCGCTCTCCTCAGATGTCAGGGGCGGCGAGGGGAACTATGGCGTTTACTCTGGCAGGGATAAAGGCGATGATAGGGATGAATCGCCGAGATCGCCTGGACTCGGGAGGAGGAGCGTCGGAGGGGACCGGGGACCGACATGGGAGGATATGTACAGTCGCTCGGGGCGAGGATCACTTGATGCAAGCTCTTCGCGTTCGTTCCGTTGATTGAAGCGTCGGTCTTACAATTTGGAATTGAGAAGGGTATCTTGGGCGGTTATGATTGATGACTTTGATGACTAACGCATTTTCATTTCCGTTTTGGATCGTTTTGTTTATGCCGTTTCACTGCCTTGTTGTCATTCGCGGGGTTTGTATTTGGGAAAGGGTCCGCGTCGTTGGAAAATTATCGGTGGGATGATGTCGTGTCTCGATTGGGGATAGGTCCTGTCAAAGTGAAAAGTTATTTCGTCTCTCGGACCATTCGCCGAACCGCATCGCTCAAGTTGACTTTTGACTAGTTGACATCTTGTCACGATACACTTCGCCGAGGCATTGGCCCGTCCATTTTCTGATTTGTCCGTTGCGCGTCCAAGTTGTAAGGGGCCGAGTGCGTCTATCGGAGGATGCCGCAGTGAGGCTTCGACCTTCCCTCCGGTCTGTCCCACCGGTCCTCCTCCTGGTGGGAATTGAATTATGGAGTTTTCTTCTGTTTGACTAGTGCTTCAGCTAATTATGGTATTGTGTCGTCGTGGGCAGAATCAGTATACCTCAAGGTTTACGGCTGGTGATATTAATCATCTCGGGATCCCACTTCACAGGCCCGGCAAAGGGGTTGCGTTTGCTCAGGAATAGCTGTCGAATGACCAGAAAGCAGCAATGCATTGGCTCTCGTACGCGGTTCTCATTCTGTTGGCGGGCGTCACACCAGTTCTCTGCGTGGAACCAGCAACATCTCCGCCTTCGCCCACTAAGACGCAAACCTCTACCAATTTCACCGTCCCTCTCACAGCCTACAACGCTGAGGTAGAAGAGACTGGGGTGCCAAAAACCTCATTACCGACACTGGAGACTACGACAAGCGCTGGGAACGATCACTGGGGATTCTACCTCTTCAGGACGACATACGACGACAATAATCTTTGGGACCGATACGTGGAGTACATCCGCAAAAGAGCCAATGAGAGCATCGATGAATATGATGAAGGCCATGAATGGCATCCTCATTTTCGTCTCTTTGTCATCGAGGGTCCCGACTTGAGGGGTGCCTCGATTGAGCATGTTAGAACGCGATTCGCGACATGGCGCGACCGGCCCAATGTCAGGGCTCATGGGGTTTACTCAGACATCGCCCCGAGCAAGTACTTTGACGAATATGTTCTCTCCAGGTTTCCACTGTATGCGGATGCGGAGTGCCTGGAGTCGTTCAGCGTCTACACTCAGCTGAAGAACGGGTCGCGAGAGCAGGCGGAGCACAAGGTTTTGGTGAAGGCGATGAATGTCGAGGGTAGCGACAGCTATGTGCTCAAGTGGAAAAGAGATTATTGGAGGAATCCGGATTATCGGTGGATGCTTGTGAGTTGTGAGGAGCTGGTGCAGTATTGGGATATCATGTCGTCGAGTTGGGGTGGCTGGCATGAGCAGTATATGAAGTTCAACGCTGGGGAGAAGAGGAGGCCTTGGGAGCCGCTGATTCAGCATGATGAGTTGTAGTCTTCGTGAATTTTACTGGTCTCATTCCTGATTGTGGTCTTGATGCGGCGCGATAAGTCCTCAAATGATCTCAACGGAGAAAATGAAGGTTGCTGTACGCTGACCCTTGTCACGCAGATGAGGATTTCGAGCCACATTGGTAGCATGAATGCTGGCTGAGTTGCTGATTAGGTATTGCAGGGTCTGCGGTGCCCCATAATTCGCATGCGCCGGCCGCCCGAACGGCGCGGGGCCGGTGGTGGGGCCGGTCACGACGTGCAAGTGACAGTGAGCACCATGGGAATGAATACCGGCTCTTCATGTATCAACTGACCGCATTCATCAAATCTTACTTTCTAAGTTAGGGTGGACTAATCTTCCCCTTGCCCAAAGGTTTTCTTTAAACTTTCTGACTGACTCAAAGTGTTCCCAGACCCACCTTGGCATACGTCAAGCTTGAGGTTTCGAATCATGGTTCATTACTTTTCTCATTCATCCTCTCCCACAACTATTGACCCTCACTACAATTACATGATTGTTGTCTTACATCTCATATATCTCGCTTGAAAAAGGGTTCAAGGAACGTCAGAACTCATATGTTTCGAACATTCCATTATACACGAGCCGTGGCGTCCTTCTGCTTCTCCTGCTCGAAAGTATTCTTATGATACTGAACCGCATTATTGTGCGGAACAGCAGGGGGACCCACATCTTGCCTGAAGATGTACCGCTTCCAAAAGTAGAAGAACTGCGCTAGTCCGTAGCGCGCGAACTTCCTTGTCGGTACACTGAATACAGCATCCAGCTCCTCGAGAGTCTTACCCTTGGTTTCAGGGAGAAAGAAAAGAACAAGGAAGAATCCAATGATGTTCCAGCAAGCATACCAACTGAAAGCTCCCTGAGGGGTGAAGGCTGTCTGCAAAGAGGGCCAAGTAACAGCCAGAACGAAGTTGAAGAACCATGTCGTAGCCGTTGCTAGAGACATTCCAAGAGGACGAATGTATAGTGGATAAACCTCGGCCGAGTACACGAATGGGACTGGTCCTTCCCCGGGAGAGTAGACCATGCCGAATAAGTAGATGCCGGTTGCGATGCAGGCGACGCGTGCCGGGTTTGTCTCTATGAAGAACGAGAAGCCGGTGAAGAACAGGCACAACGCCATCAGAGGGAAGGTAGTTAGAAGCAGATTCCTTCTCCCGAATGTATCGATAGTATAGAAGGCCGGAATCGCGAATACGGCGTTGATGATACCGAAGCCCAGAGATGCTGAGAGCGCACTCAACTCTGAGAACGAAGCAGATAGAAAGATCTCAGTGCTGTAGTATGCTTTGAAAGAGTCAGTCTTTTGCTGAAACAATTCTTAAACGCGACATTTTGTTTCGTATAAGAACTGTGTCCGGGAAAGGCTTGGGTCGTTCAACAAAGGCGTGGTAAGCAGCCGAAGCTATCAACATAACCCCCACTAAAACCCGTAACGCAAAACAGCTCTAGAAAATCGAAAATAAATCGTAACAAATCAAAAAAATATTTTTAGGTTCGAGAGAACATAAATAATACGTTTATAATAAAATAAAGACTTACCAACGACATTTACTCCACAAAACTGTTGACGATGGGAGACCCAGGCCTACCTGTCTCACCTGCAGGGTCCTACACCCTGCAGGGCTCTGTTTGTATGTACCTACTTCTGCAGAGGGAGCCCCTTAGAGGACTTCCCTCCTACATCATAGGAATATCATCATACCTTCCTTCAAGTGGTTATGAGCCCAGGCCTCAACTGAGGTACTGGATCAGTCTCTACGTTGAGACAATACTTCTAACATTCGTCCCACGTGGGATCGACCGGTAACCAAAATGGAAACCAACAACAAACACGACGAAGTCCCTAGAGGCAAACGCCTCCAAGGCAGATCGAACTACGTCGAATGGATTCGAAACTTCCGACGCGCCGCGAGAACTGAAGACGTATGGTCTCTAATCGAAGGCAAAGAGAAGATGATGAAACGAGAGCCGAACGAAAACGACTGTTTGGTATACTCGGAAGCCACCGATCACCCCATCACAACGAGAAGCAAGGGAAAAGCTGAGGAGACTCCTCTTCCTGCGTCCCCCACGCCTGATCCTGCTCGGTCATTGATCAAGTGGCAAGCCGAGCATAGGAAGTGGGAGAAACAGAAGCAGAGGTCTCGCAAAGCAATGGATCTACTCCTCAAATGGGTTGGTGACGGCATCGGTATTGAGATTGAGGATGAGGATGACGCTACAGTTGCCTACCGAACTATCAAAAACCGGTACGCGGTATCCAAAGACCTCGCGGCGGAACAAACCCTGGAGAAGATCGCCAAGCTCCGCCTAGCAGACTGTGAGAACGTCACAGACTACCTCAACAAACACCGGCAATTCAAAGCGGATATGATCGTCGCCGACCACGTCTACACAGACAACCAGATGGTTACAAACATCCTAGTGTCCCTTCCAAGATCATACGACACTTTCCGGTCTCAATATGACTGGATCCGAGCTCAACAAGGCGACGAGAAACCAAACCTTGACCTCCTCTATGACCGACTCCTTATCGAAGAGGAAAATATCCGCTCCCGTCGTGCTAACTACAACAGCAACAGAAGCAATGACGCACCAGCCAATCAGAGGGGCGGGGGCAAACAGAATCGTGGAGGCAATAAGACCGAACTGCAGTGTGCCGTCTGCGGCAAGCAAGGGCACACAGAATCTGACTGCTGGCACGAGCACCCAGAAAAGGCACCCAAGGCCCTGAGAGAAAAACTTCGAAAGCAGAAAGAAGAGAAGAACAACACCACCAACACAACCACCAAGAGCTACAGCGGACCATCGACAAACAACAAGAACAAGCCCGGCGAACTTATCGCCATGACGGACGGCACCGACTTCAAAGCCATATTGGCTGAGATGGAGGCCTTAGACAACCCTGCCAACAACAACGAAGTCAAGATCGTTGACACTCGCAATGCGTCGATTGGACCATGGTTCCCATACGCCACCAACAACGAGAAGGAGTTTATGGCTATGTACAGATGCGTCTTGGAGCACCAGATTGACAACAACGAAACGATCCACACGCACATCGTCACCTCACTCCCAGACCCGGCCGAATGGGAACAGTCCAGCAAGCGCCACGTCCAGATTGCTCAAGCTGCCGTGAAGCGCGCCATCGACACAGGACGCGTCAAGCTCACGCCACGCGCAGACAACAACCACCTTGCAGTGTCCCAGATGTTCCTAGAAGTCTTCAGCCCCAACAGTGCCTCCAGCAACTTCATCAAAGACATTGCAGACATCTCAGACAAGATATCGCATAATGAGGAGACTCAGCACCCTCAAACAGACAACAACATCACCATCAACAAACACCATCCCAGTGAGCCAACCACGTCCAACCCCCCTGTCAGCAAAAGCTCCGCTAACACCCAACCGCAGATGAGTTCTGATGGTATGGAGAGGAGGCTTGGAGCTGTTCAGGGGGTATGTGAAGGACAAAATGGCAAGCCAGGAGATGGATACGAAGAGCATACATGTATTGAAAAGGACAACCTAGAATGTAACACAGTCCACCAACAGGATCATTACCAGAGTGACATCGTCCTTCTCGACTGCGGAGCAGACACCTGCGTCTTCAAAGACAAGAAGTGGTTCAACACACTTCGTCCCATAGACGCAAACATCGGCTCAATCAACAACGCTAGTTCCTTGAAAATCAAAGGAGCAGGAACAGTTCGCCTGAACATGGTAGCTCCAGACGGATCTATCAACCCAATCACCCTCACACAGGTGGCCTACGCACCAGGTGCTCGTCATAACATTGTCTCTTTATCTCAACTGGCGATTAAGGGAAAGCTCTCGGGAGTGTGGGATGAAGAGAAGATAACAATTGAGAAAGACAGCCTCGCAGTGGGAATAGCCAAACAGGTGGACGGTCTATACCACATGCAACTTCAACAACAAGACGAAACCGAAGCCATCACGAATGCATTTGCAGGCCTTATTACATATGATGACGAGGTATGGACGTGGCACCGTCGACTTGGACACCTCAGTCTTCACAACATGCTGGTCCTGCTAGATATGAGTAAGGGTATTCCCCTCACTAAGGCAGCAATCCAGAAGAAGATCAAGCAGAACGAAATTTGCCCTGTGTGTGCAACCACAAGAGCTCTCGTCAAGATACCAAGAGACCCCGCGACAAGGCGAGAAAAGGAGTTTGGAGCACTTCTCCACGCAGATACATGGGGCCCCTATCCAATCGAGGGATACGACTCGACGAGATACTTCCTTTTCGTCACAGACGACGCGAAGCGCTTCACCTTCGAAGAAGCCATCAAGCAGAAGGCAAACCTCCCAAAGGTGTTCCGACGACTACATAAGAAGATTGAGAAGGTCTATAAGATCACGATTCGAGGATACCGGTTCGATAACGAATTCTACAAAGGCCCTATTGGTACCTGGCTAGCGAAAAGGCACTGCCGTATTGAGCCGACAGTCGCCTGGCAACACTACATGGGAGGAACGCATGAACGAGTTAACAGGGTTATGCGAGAGAAGGCAGCACCCATGATACAAGAACTCACAATCACCGGCCAGACATCGAAAATCATTACGGAGAAGGCTCTTGAGGCTATTCGTCAATCAACACTGCCAGATAACCTATGGCCGGAAGCAGTCAGATACTCCATATGGCTGAAGAACCGCTCGCCATCCAGAGCGCTACGCAGACAAGAAGACCAAGAGCAGTTGAACGATGGCAGTCAAGACAGCATGCAACCAGAATCACACAAGGCAACGTGTCTTACGCCCTGGGAAGCACTTACACAACATCAGCCAGAGTTTGCGAAGGAATCCATCTGGGGAAGTCGCGTTTGGGTAACAATCCCACCAGAGACACGACCAGCCGGAAAACTCCACCATGCACGAGGATGGGTTGGATACTTTGTAGGCATGGACTCAGAGTCAGTCTATCGCATTTGGTCATCAGATAAGAAGACGGTATTCCGAGTCAGCGTTGCTAGAGTACAACAAGGACAGGGCCTTGACGACCCCCAAAACACCGAAGACAGAAACCAGAATCAGGGGGAGGCCCCAGAAGACGCCCATTCTCAGTCGCAAGAGGAAGATTTAACTCAGCATGATATGGAACAGGCAGCAGAAGAGATGACTCTGCTGCCAGGACAAGAAGAAGAAGGTGGAAACTTCTGGCTTGACGACTCAGAGGATAACGATGGAGAGGATGATATCAACCAGGGGGAGCATGAGGAGCTGGAATATCCGTCCTCTCTTCCTCCATCGGATGACAACCAGTCAGACAAAAACCAACCCGTACAACCGGAGACAGAACAGCACTCGCACCCAGTCATAGATCTCAACAACCTGTCGCCACCCACGCCTGAATTCGAGAGGGCTACGACAAGAAGCCAAGATGAATCGGAGGAGTCTGAACAATCTCAGTTCGAGATAAAGTCACGATTCTTTGGTACAACCTTACTGATGGCGAAGAGAGACAGAGATAACTCTCACTCGCATACATCAAACAGCTCAATCTCAAGCTCAGAGTCAAGCATTGGGTCAGGCTCAACAACAGGAGACGAGGCTAGAGGATATATTAAGAAGAGACGCAAAGACGACAAGAACCGCATGAGATTCAAGAAGAGAGTCAAAATACAGACAGACGAAACTCGGGTGTGTCAGTCCTGTGCCAAATTAGGCTATCACTGCTTCTTCGATGAAGAAATCGACCCAGAATGGCCGGACATTATTCCTTCCTGTGTCAGATGCAAGGAGCAAGGAAAGAGAGGTGATAGTTGTGTTATCGTCACAGACCCTGAGGTTATCACAGAATACCGCGAGCGTCTACGATCTGCGTGGAACAAGGCTAACGCAAACCGAGCCGCTAAGAAGGGAGCTCGAGCGAAGCGGACAGGTGTCACGAAAGAGCTGAAGTGTGAACGATGTGCGAAGAGACGCTGGGCCTGTGACGGCAAGAACCCATGCAACACATGCATTGCGAAGAACCTACCTTGCCGAAGCCAAAACACCCAAGACGATCCAAAATGTACAGCCTGCCAACAGAAGCACAAGAAGTGTGATAAGAAGACGCCATGTACTCAATGTATAGAGGCGAATATCAACTGCATCCGACACGCGCAGGGTGGACTCCTCACAAGACTCTGGCCAGTTGGGAACAACAGGGCTACGAAGCTCTACGAAAAGCTCGACGATCAAAAGTGCAGTGAATGTGTGAACCAACACAGCTTCTGCGACGGCCTACAACCATGCTCAGCATGTGTAACGAGGAGAATGAACGCTGCTAGAAACGAGGCAGCCAAAGGAAATACTGGTAATAAGAAGCTCTGCGTCTACAAAAACACTGATCTCAAGTGCCTTGAGAAGTTCAACACCTCAGCGTTTGAACTAGACGATAACTTCAAGGCCGTATTAAGGAGCGATTGGGAGTCACATGGAAATGATCGAGCAGCTACAAGATACCCAACAGCAAACGCGGGAACGTTTGGGTACAGAGAAGATCAGACGTCATCGGAAGATGCAGACACAGCCAAGAAGCCACACGGTGAGAAGCCGACAAAGTCCAAGTCGACATCGTCGAAATCAACAACACCCAAGACAGTACCATCCAAGTCAGCAGCTTCCAAGTCAGCACCGTCCAAGTCAGCACCGTCAAAGTCAGCACCATCCAAGCCGACATCATCCAAGCTGGCGAGGACTGCAACTACAGAAGCAGTAGCAACTAGTCCTCCTAGAGCAGACCAGACAGAGGTTGGGCCTCAAGCACCATCAGAACCGCAGCCAAACATCAGAGCAAGGACAAGGCTTAGAAATAGCTTCCCAACGGGATGGGAAACAATCCCAACTGAGGCAACAGGATTACTCTGTGGTCTATATGCGCTTAGGCACAGTATCCAACACCAACTCCCTGATCTACCGGTACCAACAATCGACGAACTTCAGAATATCCACAGACATCTATCACAGAACAATCCCAGCTTCGAGATGACCAACACAAACATGTTCCGGATCGATCAGCTGGCAGCAATCATAGTGGAGATCGGCAGAAGACGCAACCATCCAATCGATCTTGCACTTGGATACTTGGTTCCCGGCGGAAGACCAACTATTCTGAACGCCTCAGACTCCATAGACCAAGTGGTCTGGCTGTACAATAATAATATTACAGCAGGCGAATGGGGTGCTGCCCACTATTCTGGAATACGAGGTCGCTCAGATGTTGATCCTGCCCTCAACGAGGAACTCACATACAAAGGACCTGGAAACGAAGGTTCTGGGGATGACTATGTGGATGATGATACTGAAGAAGAAGAAGATGACGATGAGATTATCGACGGAGATATTGAGGCCTTCAGTTCCGGCAGAGTACTGGTAACACAGGCCGAGGAATTCAGAACTCAACTGCATGAGATGGACACTGATGGTGACGACGATTCACCCTCAGAAGATGATGGTATCGACGACGATATCATGGCCTTTGCGCCATATCACACTATTGCCATGGCAAAGAGAGACAATACGAAGATGCCGGATCCACAGTCATACAAGGAGGCAATGAGAGCTCCCGACGCCGAAGAGTTCGTTCAGGCAATGAGCCGAGAGAAAGAGGCCCATGCAAAGAATGGCACTATGGAAGAAGTCGACGAGACGACCATACCTAAAGGGCAGCGGGCACTGAGCTCGAGATGGGTCTGGACAAGAAAGCTGGGAGAACATGGTGAAGTAACGAAGCATAAAGCCAGAATGGTTGCTAGAGGCTTTACACAGAAAGAGGGACTTGATTACGACGAAACGTACGCAGCAGTCATGAAAGCATCAACATATAGGATTCTCCTGGCTCTGGCAGCGATCCTTGGTTGGGAGGCACACTCAATGGACGTCGTCACAGCCTTCCTCAACGGCGTTCTCATGGAGACCGTTTTCCTCAGACCCCCACAAGGATGGCCCATACCTGAGGGGAAAGTCTGGAAACTGAAGAAGGCCTTATATGGTCTTAAACAGGCCCCAAGAGCGTGGTACGGGAAGTTTGCTACAACCATGCAACAATGGGGGTTCAGAATCTCCTCGTTCGACAGCTGCGTTTTTATTTGTGGCAACGTCATCCTAGGCCTATGGGTAGACGACTGTCTTCTGATTGGTCCCGGACAAGAAGCACTCCAACCAGTCAAAGACAAACTGAAGAGTGTCTTCGAGATGAAGGATGAGGGCCTAGTCACCTATTACCTTGGACTGAATATCGAACAGTCAGAAGAAGGGATTCGTCTTCATCAGAAGGCATACGCAGAACGCATCCTGAGACGATTCGAACTCCAGAACTGCCGTGGAAAAAAGGTACCAATGAGAGAGGGAACGACGCTGACGAAAGCGGAAGAGACGGAAGAAGTCAACGAAGGTCGCCGCACTGAGTTCCAGAGCAAAGTCGGCTCCGTCAGTTACCTCGCAGGACAAACGAGACCGGACATCAGCTTCCCAACGTACCTATGCGCGAGGTACAACGCCAACCCAACCCAACAACACATTGAAACAATCGACCATGTCTATGCGTATATCAAACAAACCATAGATAGGGGATTCATGTATAAAAGGGGTGAAAAAGGCCTTGCTGGATTCTCAGACAGTGACCACGCTGGCTGCAAAGACACATCTAGATCAACGACAGGATGGGTCTTTATCCTTGGAGGCGCGCCGATATCGTGGTGTTCACAGAGACAGAAGACTGTCTCGATCTCGACAACTGAAGCAGAATATATTGCTGCAGCAGAGGCTGCTAAGGAGGCGATCTGGATACGTAACTTCATCAATGACCTTGAGATTGATGGTATCCACTACGACACAATTCCCCTCTACATGGACAACGATGCAGCTACGAAACTGACACGGAACCCGGAATTCCATAACCGAACGAAGTATATCGATATTAGATATCACTTTATTCGAGAGCGGGTGATGGAAACAAAGGAGATCGATACGAAGAGAGTCGATACCAAGTTTAACGTCGCGGACCTACTGACGAAGCCCCTTGGTACGAAGAGACTTGAAGAGCTACTAAAGCTAATGGGCATGACATAAGGCATAGAAACAGAGAGACGAGGAAGCCCTGTTTCAGGGGGAGTGTTGACGATGGGAGACCCAGGCCTACCTGTCTCACCTGCAGGGTCCTACACCCTGCAGGGCTCTGTTTGTATGTACCTACTTCTGCAGAGGGAGCCCCTTAGAGGACTTCCCTCCTACATCATAGGAATATCATCATACCTTCCTTCAAGTAAAACTGCTGCATGAACATAACAATTTGCGACGCCGTCATGGCGTTTCTATTGCGTATTCGGGTGAATAGTTCGAGAATACGGTTAGACTTTCCAATGGCTTGTGTTTCTCTCTCCGCTTCAAGTAGGGCGTTGGCGTAAAAGAGATCTCTGGCGGCCTGGACCTTTTCGAATCTGAGCTGGCACATTGATTTGTATGCGTCAACGTGGCGGTCCTTTGAGATGTACCATCGGGGAGATTCCGGGATGAGGTAGCAACACGCGCATACAATGACTGCCGGGACTCCAGCTGAACCCATCATCAACCTCCAGTTCAGTCCGGTAATGCCGCTTCGGTCTGGGACATAGTATAAGGCCAAATCGGCAACGTATCCTCCGGCAATACCTACAGCTGTCCACAGCTGCCACTGCATGGCTGAGTTGTGCGTTAGCCCTCATTTCCACGATGGCAACGAGGTTTCAAGAGGTTCAATACTTACTGAGTGCTCCCCTGATCGACTTTGGAGCTGTCTCGGCGGCGAAGATGGGCGTGGTGGCTGACTTTGGTCCGATACCCAGGCCAAGCAGAAAACGTGCGATGAACATGGTGTACCAGGAGTTGGCGAACGCTTGACCGAAGCAAGTGACTGCGCTAATGGCACATGAAATGAATACGGTTCCTCGACGTCCGAAAGCCTTGTTCATGGGCTCTGTAAGCCAACAGCCGATGAAGGCACAGCAGAGGTACGGTCTAATACCTATAGTCAGACGAGCCTATCTCTAAGCGATTCGAAACGCTACTCACGCTGAATTTACGAGACCAAGTAGCCAGGTGTCTCGCTCAGTCTCGCCGCCAATCCCAAACTGCTTCTTGTAGAAAGATTGAGCACCATTGACGACTGTTTCGTCCATACCCTGGACAACAGCACAGAAAGAACAGACTGCATTGCGTGTAAGTCAAGGCTCTAAAGGCGAGAGACAAGCTGTTGGGAAGCAATTGGTGGAATGAACATGTAGAAGCAAGGAACTGGTCGTGGTGAATGGGTTAAACTTACTCGCAACAACAGCGTAGAGCATCTTTGGGTTACGCCATTTATGAGTAGTCTCCCCGTCAAGAACAGCCCGCTCTTGGGCAGTCAGGTCTCTCATCGTGTCGTACTTGTTCATGTTTCCAGCGATCATGGCGCCAAGGCGGAACGCTCTCACGTCCGCCTCGTCTGTGATGCCATGCTTCTCGCAGTACTCTTCACCCATACGACCAAGTTGCTCAGGAGTAAAGCCACCAAGAGGGTTCTCCAGCTTTTGAGAAGCCTCTAGCCGTTTCTGCTCTTCCTTATCAACGGCTGTGGCCTCGGAGGCTCGTCCGGGGTGATCCATGTGAGCGAACTCAGCCTCGGACCGGTCCGAGGATGGCCGGTCACCGATCTTCTCTCGCTTCGGGTCCGAAGCCATATCGGAGACGAGAGCGGTGTGTTCACGGGAAAAGGTTGGGACTCGCACTCTGATACGCTGTGGATGTAATGCCAAGCGAGAACGGTTTATGGATAAGCTGGGCAACACCAATGGTTATCGAGATGCTTTGATGTGAGAAGGAAAAGGATTGATGTTCCAAGAGAGCCAAGTACGCCTCCCGTCTTGGGGATAGCTTGGCCTCTTAAGTATTCACACGCTGCCAAGAAGTCCATTTCATGGGAGCAACCATGTTAAAGGCACCTGGCAGAGACTTTCCTGTCTGACTACGAACGAAGACGGCGCCAATGGAATGGAAAGCTAACATAGTAGTGCTTGTGGATGGTCTGGGGAAGAGGAGGGACGATCGATCGCGGGGGTGGGACAGAGCTCCTAGGAATGATTGCTTCAGACTGGCCGAAGACGAGGTAGACTGGGGTTCAGTCGACAGGGAGTCCGACAGGCTGCGTTTGAAGGATTCTGAACGACGTCATTGCTCTGTCAATTGATATTTGCAGTTATTCAGAGGTCCATGTGGGGGGGTTGCGGCGCATTTAGATCACTCGGGTATTCTTACCAACTCACTTACACACAGCTCTGACAGTGTCATCCAAGCATCAATTCCCCGCGCCTGGAGTGACCACCAACAGGGACCACCATTCAAGCATTCAGCAAGATGGGCCCAGACCCTTGCAGATTCAACGTCATCTCCACCAGCCGCCTTCGCCTCCATCCCGACACAACGGCATTCAGACCAACACTTACAACCAAACAATATGCTTTCCTGACCGAACCGATGTCGATCATACCCATGTTTTCTTCCGAACCCTCACATGGAAGGATTTGGACGACGACACAATCACGCTCATCATCCCCTGCAACTTCAACGAACCCCGGCTCGTTTACCCCTCCTCCAACCCTCCCCCGAAAGCCATCCAATAAGCGACCTCACGGCAAGATGCGCAGTGCCATCATCGGACCATCTCTGGCGTCACATGGAAGGGGCTCTTCACATGTGTCCAAGGCACGCCCAGAGAAGTCAAGAGTTGCCTGCCGTCTTGTCGCAGTGCCTAGAAAGCGCTAAATGATCCAGCCACGGCTGCGTTGTGCCGCATTGCTTGGCTTCTGTTGGACCTATTAAAATCATTTCAATCGTCTTAGCATTTTTAAGATAGATGCGGGAAGGTTGATCAGGGAATCTGCTAAGGAAAGACTGTTTAAGTGGTATTTAGAAGCCAAAACACTTGAGTTCGAATATTCAAATGAAGGCATTAGAGGCAATAGGAACAATAGAAATGGTAAGGACGACGGGGACAATAGAGACAACAGAGACGACAGAGACGACAGAGACGACAGAGACGACAGAGACGACAGAGACGACAGAGACGACAGAGACGACAGAGACGACAGAGACGACAGAGACGACAGAGACGACAGAGACGACAGAGACGACAGAGACGACAGAGACGACAGAGACGACAGAGACGACAGAGACGACAAGGCTTCTACCATTCTACCTGGTTAGCAGGACTCATGATTATAGGTCCAATAAAAATCCTTCAAGTAAGATTTGTCCAGGTCTGGACTACTCGATTGACTTTTGGGTCATAGTGTTTCTCGTCCATGAGGCGAGAGACTAGCTGCGCGCTCAAGCTTAAGACTAATTAGGGTCTCTATTGAAGAAGGTTAACAGGCCCCATTCAACGGCACTAGCAACTACGTCCAACTCCATGTCGTTACAAAAGATAAAAGAGTTGTTCCACTAAAGAATGATGCCTCATATTGAAAGCCAAACAAATATAGGTAGCCAATAGTTGACTATTCCTTTGTTGGTCCCAGGGAAGCATCGTGCTTATTACGTCATATTAGGACCGCCGTACCGCCAGGGGTCTTAAGTGTAGTGGGGCACCTTGCATAAGGCCCCCCGTCGCCGACTCGTCACACTACTCCTCCTGCCGTCAACATCATCGCCAGTGGAAGTCAACAGCAATTATCGGCGCATATTATTTCAAATTATACATATCAAATCTACGGATTCACCCAAGTGGTCCTCTATACCGCTAATACAATCTCCGTCTGGATTCTTGCCCTCATGCGGGTGATGGCGCTGATCACATTGGCAGCCAGGGCGGCATGTGTGCCCTGCAGGTTCCTGTAAGTGTTTTCCATGGAATCCAGGCGAGCGGTGACATAACGCCGGGAGAAGTTGACGGCGCGCTGGTTCCATAACGGCTGGAACTCGTCGATGAGCGTTACGAGTCGCTCAGGCCGATTGGGGAACGTCTGTTGGTGGGAAAAGGTCAGTCGCAATCTTCCTTTCTTTGAAGAGGGGTCAAGGTTCTTACCCTGGCGTACAGGTTGTCGAAGACGGCCAACGCGTCCCGTCGGCCATCAAACAAGTCCGTTCGATATTGTGCAATGCCGTTCATGTAATTCCACATGGCGAAAACAGCACGGATTGACGACAGGGCGTCTTCGGCGTTGGCGAGACTTGGATTGTTCATCCATGTGTTCCAATTGTCATCGCTGACGCCCTGGCCTTCGGTCGTGTACATTCGTCCCTTCAACGACTGCGTGACGGGTTTCCAAGTCAGCAAAATGGTCCAAAGCATATGATTGCAAACCCACTCACGTTGAGGGCTCTTGCCAGATTGACCATGACATCCGGGTTGCTTGATGATCCATAGGCATCAGCCACAGCCTCGGCGGCCGAACCTGCCGGCGGGTCTGCCTCGACGCTAGCTGGTACCCAAAGCCGGTAGTCGTGGGCAAAGTAGTTGAACAGATTGGCAAAGCTGAAGAGACTGTTCTGGCTCTGATAGATCGTGGACAAGCCCGGCTCATTGTCAGCCATGTCGAGCTGTCCGGTCTGGAAGAACTGGGCGGCATGATTCGGGAAGATGGACCGGTCGTCTACGTGATCCGACTCTACCGTCTGATAGTTCACGCCTTGGACGCCGGCACTGGTAGCGGAGGTGTCCTCACAGTCGTTGGGATTGGCTATACTCCACCGTTCGTTACGACCTAGTTGATCGATGTCAGCCTCTCTTCTCATCCCCTTTCGAGCCATGCAAACTTACCAGTCTCAGCATCGAGGGCGTCTCCGTTGTTGCCGTTGGGATAGGTTGGAAACTGGAAATTGAAGCCATCGGCGGTACCACCGTTAGCGTTGGCATCCAATATCGGATAGTCCTCAGTTGACCCTCCACTAGGACCAGCAGCTCGCTCGTCCAGGCGTCTGAAGTGTGCCTTCTCACGTTCGCTGAGGTCACCGAGATGCTCTGGTTTGAAGGTCAAATCTAACCCGGCGAAACCTCTGCGCTTCAAGTCGGTGGTGTCGTCATCAGTGCTGTTATCAACAAAGAAGTTGTAATAGCAAATTAGTTCGGCGGTCGTACTGTTGTCGCTACACCCCATGAAAGACTTGTCGCCGAAGACAGCATATCCGTTGATATTGGGTGCCTCGCGCTCGGGAGGCTCTTCGCCACCGGTGAAGACGACGGCGGGACTCGCCACGCTGCCTATGTTGTGCGTGGTCCCGTCATCCCACCCAGATTGGATGGTCCCTGTCTGGACCACATCGGCGGACGCGGCCTGAGGCGCATCGATAATTCCAGGGGATCCTGTGCCAACATCATCGACGATGTTGATGGCGTGAACCAGCCGAGAAGTGAACTTGGCACCGGCATTCTCCAGGGACGTCTCGTAACCGAAGAGCTTGAGCGTCATGGTAGTCTCCAGGACCATGTTCATGGCGAAGATGGAGTTGAACGACCCGCCAGTTGCTCGTTTTATGCTACTGGCAGAGTCATCGGGGACAGACAGATATCCAGTGGCAGCATTGCTGATTCTCTTGTCCTTCACGGCCCCAGAGAAGTCTCCAAGCCCCGGCGGTGCATTCGTGCGCAACGTCTCGGACGACGCCAGCTCGAAGTCGACGTCAAACTGAGCGTCAATGGCGCCGGAACCCCTTAATGAGACCTCACAGTTGAGTGATGGTGAGAAGGACACAATGCCTGGCTGCGAGGCTTCGAAGTTGGTGATGGCGCTCGAGAACATGTCGCGCGCCACACCGTCGCCGCTGTTAATGTCGAGCACGCCCTTGCCATCAAAAGACAATGTCGCCGACATCAACAGGTCAGAGTCAAAGTACCCGTATGCCTCCTCGACTGACAGTGTCGGCGAGATGGTTCCCACGAGCGTAAAACCGAACCGCATCTTGTTACTCATGGAACCTGACAGGCTGATCTTGAGGAAGCCGTCATCCTCGCAATCGTTGTCACTGCCATCATTGCCATAGATCAAGGAGGTGAAGTCGCTCTTCTTGATAGCCGGCTGAGTGTTCTCGTTGTACGCCGTGGTTCGAATACCCTCGATGATGGTTTTCCAAACTGAAGACAGCTTGCTCCAGAAGCGCGACTCAAGGGGGTGCCCATCGGCATCATCACGCTTCCTCTTGGCAGCCGCTGCTTCGACTACTTGCTCATAGTACTTGTGGGTGTCAGAGTAGTCAACTCGGAAGTATATGTCACCAGAGTCCCTTTTGGCCACGCGCGAGAAGTCGTAACTGTACTCGAGTTCCATGACTTTGGCGTTAGCAGGAGCTCCCCTTTTGATGAGCTTGTCGGGCACGGCATGGGTCGTCTCTCGTACTGCATGAGCCACAGCATACTTGCCGAAGCCCATGTTATCAGGCATGCGCAGAACTGTGCCCTCGAGACCGCCCATATGCGTGTCGTCGCAGTTACTCTTGGCCGAGTCGTCCATGCAAACGAAGTAGGTCGATTGGGCTTCTTGTCCATGGTGTGATCCGCGGGTCAGGAACTGCAAATGAGAACCTCCCTCACGCTTGTCCAAGTTCGAGACGGTGCCTGACGGTCCATCGATGACGACGAACAGGAAGGCTGCCACCGTAGCGTCATCATTGTCGGCCACATCTCCAGCGGTGTACGAAAGAGGCTGCAGCTCAAAGACCGGCACGTCGCCGGTAGGCGGCAACGTTGGGAACAAGTCTTCAAGGTCGACAGGGAGGAATGGATTGACATTATCCGGGGTGTTGCAGCAGAGCGGCTTTTGCCTCGAACTGAGACCGCCTGCGCAGAGAGATCCAGTGTCGCCCGAAGGATCTAGCGCCACCTCGACATCGGTAGACGAGCACTCATTGTCGTCACACGTGCCCTTGCCTACCCAGTGGCAGTTCTGGAAGTCGTAAGGGCAGCAGAACTTCTGCTTACACGATGAAAAGACGGCCTTATAGATGCTCCGCGAGCTGACTTCGTAGGGGGAGTCGGCCGGGCAGTCACCGCAGCCGTCAGCCCAGGCGCATCCATCGACATAGCTAGCCCACGTATTGCTCTCGCAACAGAAGGCTTGCTTCCCGGGTGCTAGACAGTACTGGCTGCCCCTAGAGCTGTGAGTGATCGTGGTCTCCCCTGCATGGCACTGTCCATGACACGATCCAGAGCCGCGCCAGGTACACGACTGGGGCATAGCATTCGTCGGGCAGTAGACGTGCTTATACATGTAGCCGTGAATGTCACTGCCACAAGTATCTCTGAACTTGCCGTTGGGCGCAGTGGCCCAGCCCGAGGGAGCAACCTCGTACTGACTCACGCAGTCGCTGACCTTGCAAGCCTGACCATTGACAGATGCCCATTCGGCTGTCTTGGCTACTGATGCGCGTTCCAGATTCAGCGAGAAGGATGGCAGCGATTCTCCCAGCAGGCCCTCGAGTGCCGAGAAGGATGTATCGTCTTGATCAACGCTCCATATCATGACACCGCCGAGGCCGACCTCGTTAGCCCAGTCAACCTTCTGGGCAAAGGTTGTGTTGTCGTCGTAGCTAACCCACATGTCCTTGTCGTCGCCGTACACAATGTAGTTGGCCGCGGCCGCCTTGTCGTAGACGACCTTGGGATCTTGGTCCGCAATGATATCCATGATCTCAAAGTAGGCCAGCGTGCCCGCCGAGTTCGTGCAGTCACCGGCTTTGGCAGGCCCGCTGAACGCGCAACCCGGCTTGGTGCAGTCGGTATCCTTCAGCTGAAAGGATCGACCATAGAAGCCGAGGCCGAGGACGACTTGGCCTGGGGGCACATCGTTACGCCACAGCAGGTCGGCAGCGAGCTTGATCTCCGTCAGGTTCGTATGGGCCTGGACAATGTTTCCAATGGGGTTGTTGGCATCCCATACACCCTGGAATAATGCTGTTAGGTCCAATGTTACATAGTTCCTCTTGATTGTGACTTACATGAAGATCGTATGTCATGATGTTAGTCCAGTCGGCGTACTTGAGCATGCTGGGAACGTCGAACCTGGTGACATGTTAGTGGAGTTCGCAACCGAAGTATGCACAATTGTGTCCTGACTTACCACTTCAAGTACCAATACGAACTTGGGATGGTAAATGAGAGACCATAGTCCCCGCGCGGCGACGCTTGGAAGGTCTCCCGCAGCGTCTTCAGGAGTAGGACGTAGTTGTCTGTGTCTACCTCGGAACCACCACGATCACCAGCGCCGGGGTATTCCCAGTCTAAGTCAACGCCATCGAATCCGTAGCGCGTCATGAAAGACACGAGGTTATCTGCAAACTTCTGCCTCTTGTCGGCATCTCCTGCAATGTCTGGAAACACGGCTTGTGTAGACGTGTCGTTGTCCGAGAACGTCCAGCCACCGATGGACACCCAAACTTCGAGCTCGGAGCTGAGGGATTTGAGATCTTTGATAGCGGTTGTCTGCACGAACAGGCTTTCAGGTGTTGCTGAGTCCATGGTTGTGACCTGGAGCGTATCTGGGTCGATGCTTTGACAAGAGAGTTAGTCAAGTTCTACAGCGGAGAGGAATAATATCTCACTAGGCAAAGGCAAAGTTGACGTGTGTCAACCCGTCAATGGGAATGCCACTGGGCGGGAAGGCTCTGCAGGACCTTCGGGCAGACCAAGCTTCGTAATAGCCGATGACTTTGTTGTCGAGAACTTTCTTGCTGGAGCCTCCAGAAGGCACTTCCGGGTCCAGCACGCAATTGGACTGGCACTTGTCATCGCAGAATTCCGATGTACTGCCACAAAAGCCATATTGACTGCAGCAGACATTGAGAGGGCAAGTTGTTCCTGAAGACGCAAGTCAGATCTAATATCACTAAGATGAGGAACACCAAAATAGTCTGAAGATCATTCACAAGGCGCTCCTCGTCCATGAAAAGGTAAGGCGTGGGGCTAAGAAAAGATACTCACCAGGAACTTCGGCATATTGCCCACACTCAGCTTTGGCGTCACACTGAGAGTCACAGTCGTCGCCGCAAAAGTCCGGGCCAAAGCCGCAGATGCCATCGTCTGTTCCTTGAAAGGAACCGCAGCATGCGACTGTCTTACACTTTGTGCCCTTCTTACAGGTCGTCGTGTCGTCGTCGGCTCTGCGACGCAGCTGACTTACATTGTAGGGCAGGCTGAATTCATTCGACTCGAGGTTGAAGACATCTCTGCTTGAGACCACCTGATGGGTTGTAGTTTCAAGCTTTTCGTTTGAGTTGTCTGAAAACACATATAAAAGAACGGCAAACAGTAGTGGTACAAGGAACAATGACGCCGAGGCCGGTCTCAACGTTGGAGAGGCCATCTTGCTGGCGTTACTAGAAAGGAGTGTATGAAGGCCGGATGGAGAGACACAGCTATTCCAGCCAAAAGAACATCGCAGATATCATCTCGAAGGACATCAAGTAGTAATAGGAAGCAACATCTTTCATGGGACGCGGATCCTCGGCTGGGACCCATACTCACTGAGCTGAAATGGCCCGACATCCATGGACACAACCAAAGTCCCTTTCAGGGATCCGCTTCAGGCTCGATTTTTTTTTCATTCAGGTGATGCTTCTCGGGTATGGCATGCAATGTTTAGTTGCAGCCTGGTGAAGAACCAGCCCTGAGTTCATGTGTGTGTGGATATCTAGCAAGAGAAGATTGCGGGAAGCCCGGCTGGCCGGCGTCTAGGCATCACACTTACACAGGATTGCCGTCAATACCTCCCGATCCGCCCCGGAGAAAGGAAGCTTCAATTTAACTTCATCTTGCTGTCTGTTCTAAGCCGTGATGGACCGCTCAACTGCAGACGGGGAATGTGGAGACAGACCAGGGGAAGAAGCTTGAATGCACGCGTCCCGCTCCCAACCTAGACAAGTGCTTACTCGAACAGGGTCAACAACCCCGGTCACGAACGATGCCGCGTAAGGCCAGCTGCGGGACGAGCCAACATATGAATCCTCCCGACTTGGCGCCGAAATGAGGCTCCATTCTGCTCTTACAAGCCTGACTGCAGCTCACGCTGCCGCTTGATGCGGCTGCCAGGAATCATGCCTTCGCGCGATGCAACGTATGTGTGGCCATCACGGCAAGGCTCTCGCTGGTGCCTGAGACGTCGAGTTGTGTCCATTCTATCATTCCCGTTTATGATGGGATGAGGAGGTTTCCCATTCCAATTGACGTGTAGTTCCTCAACATCTTCTCGAGTGTCGTTCAGGTCACAATGTCCTCTTGGGGATATTCTTTGCTGGCAGGCGTCTGCTTGCTTCCCCTGGCCTTTGGACAAGTCTTTGTTGGCAGCAACAGTTCGCAAACGAGCATTTCGGTCTCTCTACCTGCGCCAGCCAACATCTCAAGTAACTGCAAGTAAGTCTCTCCGGTCTGTCATATGACTCTCAATTCAAGGTCTAGGACGAGCCACTTTACTGACAATCTCATAATTACAGTGCAACATTCACGACTGAAGTCACCTGTGACAGAAACCTTCCTAGCATCGCTTTTGGCGGCTACTTCCCTAGCAGCGATGACTTGACGGAGCTCTGCAACTCAGACTGCCTTCAGTCGCTTGAGTCACAACGCATTGCTCAAGCAGACGCGTGTTCCTCGGACACCATGATGCTTGAGGGGATGACCTATCCCATCACTGCCACGGTCGATGTGTTACTTTGGGCATACAACTACACATGTCGACGTGACGCAAGCACAGGTGACTTTTGCCAGCCAATATTCGATTCTTGGGCAAGTGGAAATGCGTCCGACGAAGTCTGCAGCGACTGCGTCCTCGGAACATATCAGATCCAGCTGGGCAGTGCCATGGTCTACGATGATGAGCTGGCATCTAACTTTTCATCCATGACCTCGTCTTGCCAGGCCACTGGCTATCCCATTACATCGCCAACACCTCTTTACATTAATGCTACAGCCACGGCTACAGCAACAACAACAGCCTCTGCCACGCCTTCCAACTCCTGCGTGAGCAACTACACGGTTCAAGCAGGTGATGACTGTCACTCCATAAGCGTTTCCCAACAAGTATCTACCAGCGAATTACTATACTTCAACAACTTGGAGGCCGGCTGCACCGACTTCCCCTCAGCTGGCACCTCGCTCTGTATACCTCACACCTGTGAAGTGTACACGGTACAACAGAACGATACATGCTGGGACCTGGCTGAGGCGTCTAATGGCACGTTCTCCATTGCCCAACTCGTGTCGTGGAACATTGATATCAGTAACGGATGTGAGAATCTCGAACTTCTCGTCGGGAATCAGATATGTGTCACGTACCCCGGGGAGACGCCGGTAGTCTCGGCGACAGGGGCGGCAGCAACAGCGACAACAGCCCCCGTGCCGACCAATGTCGTCGAGGGCACCAACACCAACTGTAGCAAGTACTATCAGGTTGCCGACGATGATACATGCGCCTCTATCACGCAGATATACAGCATCTCGCTGGCAGATTTCTACTTCCTCAACCCAGAGATCAACAGTACCTCCTGCAACAACTTGTACTTAGACTACAGCTACTGCGTACAGCCAGTGGGTGATATTTCGACCTATGCCGGCTATGGGGGTAGCTCGACCTCGGCGAATCCTTGTATTGGCGGGACTACCACGGCTCCGGAGAGCTGCTACGCCACCTCGTATTCGACAATCGAGGCGTGGACATTCCCGCCAGTCAACACCACTGGCAAGACACCAGGCGCAAGCAACTCGACGACTTGGGTCTCTTACACCGTCAGCTCTGTGCCGGCATACCCCGTGACAGCCACCAGCTACAACCCGACGCCGACTCCTTACCAAAGTGGAATGGTTGCAGGATGTACCGACTTCTACTTCGTTGTTGGTAAGTCTCACGTGTAATTGCTACAACCTGAGCACGCATGGTTTCAGCATGGGTTACCCCTTCAAAGCTCCTCAACTAACCTTTCTGCTTATAGCGAACGACACGTGCGCCGACATTGCAGATCGTTGGGGAGTGTCAATTGATAATCTGTATGCCTGGAATCCAGATGTGAAGACAGATTGCTCCGGCCTGTAAGTGACCTTGGTCATGGGAAAGAGAAGACTAACCGCTGACTTGTATGTCCCCAGCATTGCCGGCGACTACATATGTATGGCGCAAGGAACCGGTACAGTCACAACAGCATTGGCGACTGCAACAGCAACGGCAACCAGCACTGCCACGGCGACGACTACAAACGCGGCTTCCGCCACCGCTCCAGGTCCTACGCAAACAGGAATTCCTGATGACTGTGCTGACTGGGTTCTTCAGTCAGATAACGTCTATTGTGCTGACATGGCGAATAACGCTGGTATCTCCCTTGCCTGCTTCTATCAGATGAATCCAGCGGTGAACACAACGGCCGGCGAGTGTCAAGGGCTGTTGGCAGACTATGCTTACTGCATAGGAACTGAATCTAACGAGTGTTCATAAGTGGTCACGTCGCTGTGCTGCGATTGAATCGTTTTAGGACCATTGTCGTTTCAGGAGCTCATCGAGTTGGATCTTTGGTCATTCACATTAGCATTGATTACGAAGCTCTCCATGTCGTTGAGATTTCTGTGTACATATTAGTCTCTTCTCTTGGATATCATTCTTCTTGTACTATTACGGCTATATTCTCATAGTCCTTATTATTGACCCTTTACCTGCCGTTCTTGCTGTCTTTATTTATGTCATTGTCGTCGTCATCTGGTTCGTCGTCGTCTCTCGTCGTCGTCTCTCTCGTCGTCGTGGTTTCTACGTATTAGTAGCTTTATATGACATGCTTTGTCTTACATAGACGGGCCTCTCTGGTCACAGCATGACTTATTTCGTTTAAAGCAGGTATGATGACAAAGTAGGCATAATAGTCAGTCTTTGCTCCCCGAACCATGCGATTGACAAGATGTGGCAGGGTCGAGGAGGGGATGGACTAGGCAGCAAAATACGCTCGACGGCCAACAGGTTATTCCCGGGAATGTTCAGGGAGGTTTCCACTAGCGTTAGGTACCCATACCCCGTACAGCACGCTAACGGCGGGGCAAATCACACCCTCCCGGCGAACTAATATAGCGGCCGCGTAGTACATCGGTACCTGCAGGCTGCAGGGATAGCGGCACCGGGCTCACTGCTCTTCAGTCGAGCGCCTCAAGGGACCTTTTGTTTGCCAACTTACATCTACGACATGGAACAACTTCCATGATTATTTCTCCGCTGCTCAGACCATTGAGCACTTTCATCCCCTCTCAGTCGCTACCTGGTGTTGTTCACACCATCCTCTGCGGTCATGGATAACCAAATCCGATCTTTCATGCGGGTCATCCGCAAGCTCGACAACGGCGATGACCTGATCCAGTCTTTTCCAGAATGGGAGAAATCCATATCATCTCAAGATGAAGGCTCGCCGACACTCGCTGCCCAAGACCAGCGGCGTATTCTCGATTTCCCGGATCCTGACACTCAAGCTGCCAACATTGCAAAGTCGTCCACACTCAGCAAGGAGGACCTACTCAAGCGCGCGGCAGAGACCCCAGCACAGCTGTCTGCGACTGAAGTCGCCTTGCTCAAGAACCGCTACTGGCTGGAAATCTCGTCTGACGAAGAGCACGAGGTGACCCTGGCTCACGGACTGATGTCAGGGCCCCATCGTGTTTCCGAGGAAGAGTTCAATGAAGCTGACAAACGCCTCAAGGCGATGCGGCATCCGCTGTACGCGGAAAACGAGGAGAAGGCCATTGAAAATGCCTTTGCTGAGCACTGGCGGCGTGAAAACGAGGCGTGGAGGGCGAGGCAGAAGCAAGAAGCAGAAAGGTCCATTCTGGCCAGGGCGGCTCCTTGGGTGAGGCGCCTATGGGATGAGGAAAAGGGCGAGAAGCATTGGGGATATGGCATTTTTGTCGATCCTGAAGCCTTTGCCGACGAAGAAGACGTTGAGGACTATATGTGCCGTCGAGACGGGGTTTTCTTCCATGGCCGAGATGCGATCGGAGCAGGGAGCAGTGCCATCAATAATATGTGGAGGTTGCAAAGGCTTCAGTGGCCCGCGAAGACCACTACAGACGATGGCACAAAGGACGAGGAGGATAGCAAGGACGGTGGCAGAGAAGAAGAGGATACTGATCAGAAAGCCGACGATGAACGCGCTTCCAAGTTTCAGAAACTGCGTGAATATTTCAAATCGATTCGAGACCGAGCGCCTAAGAGGCAGAGGCAGGAACAGGGGACCAATACCGCAAGCGCGCAGGCTGAACGTGGAAGTTTGACGGACGGCATCCTCCAGAACGTGTTTGTGGTTGTGGACAAAGCCAGCGTGGATTCAGTCGTCTCTGGAAGTGGACTGGTCGACGACATGTGGGTTTGGGCAGTCGAGCCTGATTACGACGAATCAAAGGAGACACTTGCCTCGACAGAGCCAGCCAGCGGCTACAGAGGCTACATGCGCGTTCGGCTGCAGCAACTTGTTAACAAGTTCTACGAGGCGCGGCGCTTTCATGAGAACGAGTACCCGATGGCAAAACTCTGGGAGGCCGCTCAGCAAAGCAAACATCATGCTTTTGTGTCGACCAAGGACGACGAGGCGCGGAGCTGGAGCGTGGACAGGTTTGTGGGCAGCGCTATGAGGGCCCAGCCACCACGAGTTATGATGGGACCCATGCCAGTCGGATCATCTGGAACTGGTATTTGAAGAATGGTATAGATTTGTGAGTTTGTCAACAGCGAGTAGACTTGCCGTCTTGATGCTACTCAATTCGCTAGAATGTCTATTACAGATGTAAACTCGCCATGCTCTTAGCAGCTGTCTAGTGAAACAATGAAGTCTAAAGAAACACATTATCTGCCAACAAACCGAAATCACTCCTACATTCATTCATCAACCTGGACGCCCATGACAACTCCAATGTCTCAGCCTAGGCACTCTTCAACTTGTCCTGCCCCCTCTGGAATATCTTCTTCCTGATACTCTGGTCACTCAACCCAGAAGCGCCATTCATGGTACTGTCAAACACCGTCCTGGGCCCAAACGCATTTAGCAGCCAGACGATGAAGGCATTGGTGCCCTTCCAGACATAGGGGCTCTTGGCGCTCAACACTTCCGGCACGACCTGGCGTGCAAACTCTTCGGGCTTCATCGTGGTCTTCTCGTGCGTGGCGCTCCTCTCCCTGATCTTGGCCTCCGTGTCGGCGTACACGCTGTCCGGCGCGAACTTGACATTGTCCGCCTGGATGATGGCCGTCGAGACCTCGCCCATGTACACCGTCAAGACCTTGAGGCCCAAGGGGCTGACCTCGAGTCGGAGGGTGTCTGAGTACGACGCTACGGCGGCTTTACTGGCGTTGTAGCCGGACGTGAAGGGCCCCGGGAGGCGTGCGAGAACGGAGGCGACGTTGACGATTGTGGGGGGTGTGCTGGAGGTGGGCACTGCGGCCAGGAGGAGGGGTGTGAAGGCCGTCACCATGTCGAACAGGCCGAAGACGTTGGCGTCGAACATTTTCCGGACGCGATCGGAGTCTGCTTCGATTGCGGGTGACTCGTACACTGATAGCTATTCTTTAGTACGTATGAAAGGGGAAAGGACAGTGAGACGCACGAGCACCGGCGTTGTTGTAGAGGATATCCAGCGTGCCGCCGGTTAGTCTTGAGATCTCAGCCTTGACGTTGTTGATGCTGTCTTGGCTCGTTACGTCGAGCGTGAAAGTCTCAATATTCTTTTGATCTTGCAGATTCTTCATAGACTTGAGTGAACGGGCGGTTGCAAAGACTCGAAGACCCGCGGCGGCGAATGCGAGCGCCAGAGCATTGCCGGCACCTCCTTCGGTGCATCTATCAGGGTTACTAGTGTCAGTATCGCTGTTCTCAATGGAAGTGACCTCCAAGGATTTTTCATACCCAGAGATGAGGATGGTTCTTTGCTTTGAACCTGCCATGACCAGATTATTCAATGTTAATGCTCAAAATTGAGTCTGAAGGTTTGAGATCTCTACTCTGCTTTTGCTGTGTGTGGTGATACCTGCTGTCAGTGACGACAACAGCCTCCGCTTAAGTATTGGTGAGTACATGATGATTTGGAATGAATGATATTGTCAGTTCTTCTTCATCTATGCCTCTTGTTTGCGAAATTGTGAACATTACCATCACCGCATGGAGCGTACCGTGGCATTCAAATCGTATTAGTGATCTCCGTAGTCATATACGCGTATTCGTCAGGAAGACATGCTTCACTTGATTTGTAAGAACCTAATTAAGACGCCAAAAGCAACGGCCGTTGATGAATTTAAGCTTCATTTCGTTCCGGCCGAGGTGACTTGGATGTTCAAGGATGTTTAATAATCGTCCCAACTGTGGTGGGGCCGTCCAGCAGGATGCACCGACCGCCGACGGGGTGGGTCTTGGGCTGCCGAATCGGTCTAGCTGCCGTCCAGCACCCGGGCTGCGGCGTAGAAATGACCCGTCTTTTGCTCTATTGATACCATCCACATATTCCTTATCCTTGTATTCGGCTTGTCTATTGTAGATATCTCCGGTGTCTGTGTCGTTGTGGCTGTCAGTGTCGTCTTTGTCATCGTCGTCCATATCGTTCCATCCATGATACACCGTCTATTCCTTGTCAGCGTTGTCTATCTCAACATCACCACACCTGGAGATGAACTCTGATCCAATCGGACGAAGGCTATACTAAGTTCAACGCTTTGGTAACATGGTCTGGTGCAAAGCAGCCCACGGAAAGAAACCTGTGTAAGTGACGAGCAATGATATAAGTCAAGCCTCGTCGGCTCCTTCAAGCTCTCTCATTTGCATCAACAAGATCATCACACATTTCGTTCAAGAGCAAACAACAACTGCCCAATATGTCTGGAAACCACTCCATCGTCATCCAAGGCCCGGGGAAGGCCGAAATCGTCGAGGTCTCCATCCCCAAGCTTAGAGAGGACTACCTCATCGTCAAAGTCGCAGCCGTCGCCCTGAACCCCACCGACGTCCTGCACATTGACACTTTCGCACCCGTAGGCGCACGCGTTGGTTGCGACTACGCCGGCACCGTCGAGGAGGTCGGCCCCAAGGTTAGCAAGGCTTTCAAAAAAGGGGACCGCGTCGCCGGGTTCGCCCACGGCTCCAACGCCCTCCACCACGAGGACGGCACATTTGCAGAGTACATCACCGTCAAAGCGGGCCTGCAGCTGCGCATCCCGGACAGCGTCAGCTTCGAGGAGGCCGCTACGCTCGGCCTCGGCGTGGTCACGGCGGGCCAGGCCCTCTTCCAGAGCCTCGACGTGCCTTACCTCGACAATCCCGCCACGGAGAAGGTGCCGGTCCTCATCTACGGCGGCAGCACGGCGACAGGATCGCTGGCTATCCAGTACGCCAAGCTCGCCGGTCTGTTCGTCATCGCGACGGCTTCAGCCCACAACTTTGACTACCTCAAGAAGCTGGGCGCCGACGTCATCCTGGATTACCACTCCGACACCGTCGTCGAGGACATCAAGAAGCACGCCGGCGCCGGACAGCTGAAGAACGTGCTCGACTGTATCTCCACAGAGGCGACCGCCAAGATCTGCGTCAACGCCTTTGGCGAGGCAGGCGGCGTCTACTCCGCCCTGCGGTTCGTGCCGGAGGAGCTCGTGTCGGCGATTAACGACAAGGTGACACTGAAGCTGAAGCTGGCGTATTCCGCCATTGGAGAGGCGTTCCAGTTCGGACCGCTTTCGTTGCCCGCGGATCCGGCGGACCTGGAATTCGCAAAGAAGTTTGTGGCGGATACTGAGAAACTGCTGGCGGAGGGAAAGCTTGTGCCCCACAAGCCGACTGTGGATGAGGGTGGGAGTGGTCTCGGCGGCGTCCTCAAGGGTCTCGATCTCGTCAGGGAGGGCAAAGTCAGCGGCACGAAGTTGGTGTATCATATCTAGGTAGCCTGGCTAGTTAGTTCCGTCGGCCGAAAAACACACTTTTCATCCTGTCACAAGCATCAAGGTTTCCAAGCATATTGAGGATGAAATTGACTCGGAAAGCCGGAGCCAACGAACAATAACTGGATTCGTGACTTTTGAGTATCCATAATTCTGTCTGTCGTAAAGACGTAAAAGACCCTAAAGAAATGCGAAAATTTCTTGCTTGCTCGCTCGCTCGCTTGCTGGACAGGGTATCCGTTGTTCCCCAAACACCATGCTCTATGCTCAGTCCATAACCGTACTCGATGCTTTTATGGCTTCATCACTCATTCATGTCTTTAATTCGTCACGCTTGAAAGAAAGCAGAAGGGTAAAAACAAGTCTGGGAAGGGGGTCATCGCGGGGGTCGTATCGGTGTGCCGAGAGGTGTGCTGTAAGCCGAGCGATCATAGCTCTTGTTCTTGGCGCGTTTTCGTTTAAGAGCGGTCCAGTCGGCCTTCCAGTTCAGAATACTTTGGTTGAGGTCGGGATCAACATCCAAGGGTAGCTGTACTTCAATGGCCTTGAGACCCAGACGAAGGTAAGTGAGCTCCGAGTCGTTTTCTTGAAGCTCTTCTTCCCTGCGACGAGTCAGTAACGGTGCTGGGTTGCCGAACGCTGAGACACATACAAATTCCGGACTCTCGACTGAAGAAAAATGATGCGTTGTGCTGCACGTTCAGCGCGGGTGACAAGTAGCTGGTGGATATGCTGGACAATTGTCAGTTACCGTCTTATGAGTCATCCACTCTGATTCTAACCTCCGATTCCTCTTGTCGGGCCTTGAGGTTTGTCATGAGGGTTTCCAATTCGATATTGAGCTTGGCCGCCTCAGATGCGATGCGGAAAGCGTCGACAGCGGGTTTCTTCTCAATGGTAGGTTCAGGGGAAGGGGTGTCTCTTCTGAATGAGCTCCGCCATGAGGGTGAGATATCCGATAGTCCAGAGCGAAACCATGAGGGCGATGGCGAGGTCCACAGAGATTCATGCTCTTGCTCAATCTGCTCAACCGCCGGCCACGTCTTAGGCTTGCCTTGGGGTGTCTCTTGAGCCATATGAACCTCGCCAGTCATGACACCTTCGATCTCATCAAGCTTGCCATGCATGGCGCTAACGCTGGTGTCCGGCACTTCCTCGCCCGCCAGCAGCTTTTCCGCTAATTCATTGAGTCGCTGGACTAGACCAAGAGTGTCTCTGGTGGTCTGGGTGCCATTTTCGTCTGAATGAACGGATGCCGTGAGGTCGTCTTCAGTCCAGGATCGGGCCAAGGGGCTCTTAGCGACTGGCGTCGAGAATTGTTGGCTGGTGGTGGAAAACTGTTTGCGCGGCGGTGACAGCGGTGAGAAGCCGCGGAAACTCAGAGTTGAGGGTAGAGAGGGCGATGAGGCTTGCGGTGAGGAGGGTTTAGGCGTGGCAACGTGCGGCGTCGAAGGAGGCGGTAGTTTGACGGCACGGTCATGGCTTCTCAGACGCCTCAGACCTTTGCATGGACTGTTGTCGTCCTCATTGTCGTTCAAGTCGATAAAACGTAGGCCCAGCCCCGAATCCGACCTGACGTCCGGCATAGCTGTGCATTGAAGTGTTTTGGGAGTGCTTTGGGCGGCGACGGGCCAACCAAAAAACCGGGTCTTTAGCCTCCTCCCGAGTCCTCTTTTGGAGGGAGGATGATCAAAGGAGTAGGTTGACGCGATTAGAGGGAAGCAATGCGACTATGAGTCCCGAGTCGGGTCAGGGCTGCATGCGCAACGGGTGACAAAGCGG